TCACCTTAATAGCAATTGTAGTCATTTGTCCAACACAGTCATTGAGCATTCATATTGTGCTAGCTTTTGTGTTTAGTGCTGTAAATCCATTAGGATCACAACCATAAAGATGAATAAAACCTAGACCTCAATACTAGTGTACTAAGTATTGTGGGAAGGAGAAGATATATGAGAGGCTAAATTAGTTAACCATTTCATGGAAGTATGCAAATTTTAGAATTAATATGGCTCCTAGATATTGTATTTATATTTTCTGCTTAGCTCAGGCTCCATCTTCTTGTAATCATCCTGAAAAATAACTGCAAACTTTCCAAGTATCTATTATCTCCTCCATCTCCCATGTGGAATGTAAAGTTACATTGTTTATTTAACAGTTGTGACTGGATTTAGCGGATTAGTATAATTGTGTAAATCTGATCCAGTGTTTCCCTACGGGTATGTATCACAACATGAATGTTTTGGCAGAGGTGGTAGAGTGCTACTGTTTTTAAGGAACTGTAATTCAAAAATCTTGATATACAATTGAATATGCTATTTAAAATTGTCTTTCTCACTGCAATAAACCAAATTAAAAATCTAAATTTATGTTTATCAAATATTAAGCAAATTTAACCCTAACACATAAGTATATTATGTATTTACATGTATGACTATGACAGCAACAAGGTGGAAAAATTGGTTCCACAATATTGACCTAATTGTCCTATTAAATGAATGGATTGGCTGATTACTCTCTATAAATCCCATTATTGTTTGAATTAATTTGTCTAAATACTGTAGTATGAATACAGTATTTTTATATTTTATGTTCAAAGAAGAGACATTGAAAGCCCTATTACAAGCATTCTACACATTTACATTCTATTACACTTTGTAATTTTTCTTCTGCCAGACAGATTTATGAACATCTTCTTTTCTTGTATGTGAAATAGCTGTAACCTAAATCTACTTGTTGTGTGAGATAACTTCATAGGTCATGAAAGATTAAGGGACAATTTTCATGAGAACAAGAGGGTGCAAGAATTTGAAAGGGAAGATTAAAGATGGTGGAGTAAAGACCAACAGCAAAATACATCCTCTCTGGGCCCTAGAATTGGGACTTCTGGAAAACAAATGTAGTAAAGAAAAAAGAAGTAAATTTCATTGAATCAGGAAAGAACCAACAGGAAAACTAGAAACTACAGAGAAACTGGAGATACTGAACACAGTGCAGAGAAAAGGATGAAGCAGTCTGGAACCCAGGGAGGTAACGCTGATTCTCAGGGAGGAAGACCTGTCTCCATTAACACGGGGTAAGACCAGAGAGGGTCGGCAGCTCCACGGGGCAACAGTGGACCAGACTGGCATTGCTAGCTCCAATAAGAGCCCACTGTTATTATAATTGCAAACACAATATGGAGTATTACTCTTAAAGAAAGTCCTCTGCATGACCGGCTAATGTTGGACAAGAAACAGTGTCTACCATGTATGTGAGAATTTAGTCAGGAACTGTTTTGAAAGGGAATAATTGTTTAATGTTCACCAGTGAAACAACCACACTTTAAGTTTTCTGGGGTCACTGTACCACAGTGACTGGGTGGGAGACAGACATAAGAGAGTCAAGGAGAGGGAAAGGGCTAGCCCTAGATCTCCCTACAAAGTTTTAGCTCAGTTTGGAAGAACGTGAGGGTCCCAACATCTGTGGTGAAAAGCCAGTCCAGTCTTGTGTGGGTTTTGGAGGGGGCTGCATCTGAAAGTGCTGGCATTAAGTCCAACAAAGTGCTTGACCACCCTGCTCTGCTGCCTACCTTCAGCACAGAACTCTGGTCTGTTTGCCATCCCCATCTGCCAGGATGTAGCTTAGTGGCACAATGCCGGCCTGGTAAGTGCAAGGCCCTGACTTCTATTCCTGGTACCCAAACAAAAATCAATATACAAAGATCAGAAGCATTCCTGTGCACCAAAAATGAACTCATTGGTTAAGATATTAGGAAAACAATGTCACTCACAATAGCAAGAAGGAAAAATTAAATACTCAGGAATTAATCTAACCAAGGAGGTGAAAGACCTCTAATGAAAACTATAGTAGTCTGAAAAAGGAGTTTGAAGAGGACAACAGAAAACAGAAATATATCACCTCTTCCTAGATAGATAAAACCAATACTGTGAAAATGATGGTATTTCCAAAATTGATATGCAGATTTTAATGCAATCTCAGTCAAACTACCAACAGCATTCCTCACAAAAACAGAGAAAACAATCCTAACATTCATATGGATCTGGGAGATATTCACAATAACATAGGCAATCCTGGGGAATAAGAAAAAAGCAAGAAGCATTGTATTCTCAAGCTTCAAGTTATACTACAAAGCTACAATAATAAAAACAGCATGGAACTGGCAGAAATACAGACATGTAGATCAAGAGAACAGAATAGAGTGTGCAGAAACAACCACAAGCACACTCAACTATCTAATATTTGACAATGGGGCAAAAACATATGTTGGAGGAAAGATAGTCTCTAACAAATAGTGCTGGGAAAACTGGTTACATGCAGTTTATAGAAGATTGAATCTAGATCCATATCTCTCACAATGTATGAAAATGAAATATAAATGAATAAAAGATCTAAATATTAAAACAGAAACACTATATGCTGAAAGATAAAATAGCTAAAACTCTTGAAGATATAGGTATAGGCAAGGATTTTCAGACACAACTATAATTTCATAAGAAATAACATGAAGAATCAACAAATGAGATCATATCAAATTAGAAAAATTCTGCATGGCAAAAAAAACTAACTGAGTGAGAAGACAACATACATAATAGTGAAAATTTTCACCTGCTATTCTTCAGAAAGAGGAATATTACCTAGAACATATAAAGTACTTTTAAAAAAATCCCTAGATTCCCCCCCCCATAGAAGAACTAATTAAAACATGGGCATTTCTTCTAAAATGAATAGACACTTCTGAGAAGAAGTACAAATGCCCAATGAATACTTGAAAAAAAGTTCAATATTGCTTACAGTTAGAGAAATGCAAACTAAAATGATACTCAGATTCCCTCTTACTCCAGTAAGAATAGCCATCTTGAAGAAATCAAATAATAAATGCTGGTGAAGCCAAGGGAGGAAAAGAAACCCTTCTACATTGTTGTTAGGAATGTAAACTAGTACAACGACCATAGTCATCAGTACAGAAATTCCTAAAAAAACCCTACAAATTTCCTTTAACCTAACTATAGTCCTTCTAGGTATTTTCCTGTAAGAGTTTAAAGGCATCATGTCACAACAATACATATTTACCCATGTTTACAGCAGCAGAACTCACAATACGTAAATCTCGTAAACAGACTATACGTCCATCAACAGATGAATGAACAAATATGATGTTTATACACAATTGATTACTACTTTTTCAATAAGAAAGATAAATTTGAATCATTTGTAGTTAAATAAATGTAACTTAAGACAGCAAATTTAAGTGACACCAATGAGTTATACAATCTTAAGTACTGCAAAGTATCTCTAATATAAGAAACCCAAAGTGTACATAATTTAAAGGTCAAAATAAATGACAGATAATAGAATAAAGGGAGATAGATCTTTCACAGATGGGAAGGAGACCAAGAGATGGGAGGAGAGGGGAAGGGAAAGAGGGAAGGGAAATTAAAAATAATTGAGATACGTTATGTGTAGGGACCAACTCTCCAGGACAGATGTAATCATTATGTACTGGAAATATGTACTAATAAAAAAGAAAATGAATAACAATGATTAGAAAGAGCAGAGGTAATTTTTTAAAAGTACAATCAACAGGGCACTGTAAATAGCAGTGCTGCAGAAGATGGCATGGTGCACTGTGCCATGGGAGGAGCAACAGAATAGGAAGCAATGTAGAGGAAACGGAGGAAGTGTGGCATTGAGGTTTACATGGGTTTTTCATCTGAAAGTAGGAATCACGGAGAAGGATTTTAAGACAGAGAATCATAAATCAGGAGACACAGCCCATAAGAAATCTAGTACAGCTTCAACTAAGGATATTCAAGTTCAAGAAATAAAGTTATGAAACTTATCTGGAGTTTAAGGAAGAGCACTTCGATTTTGAAGGATGGGGCAGGATTGGTACTTTTCCTCTCAGCGAATTTGAAAGGGAAATCATGGGCAACAGGGCAAAGCTGAGTTTCAGGCAAAAGAATTGGGGACTGGTATCTCCCTTAGTAAATGAAAGATGAAGGGGTTTAACTTGATAGCTTGGTAGAGTTAAGGAAGACAGAGTGGAAATGACTAAGAAATAAAGGTGAGTCAGGTAGTGGTGGCTCAAGGAAGAACTGAACTGGGTTTTCATGAAAGCTAAGGTTATTTTCTTCTTGGATGGTAAATAGCTCAAAACCTAGGAATAAGTTAAAAGGAGTGGTGGAGGGTAAGCTGAAGGACCGCTGTAACTGCAGGGAAGGGGCTATGTGAAGAATCAGCTCTTATGAAATTTACTGGGGAAGACCTTGCCGGACAAAGTCAGAACACATCATTCTTTCCTAACCTGAGATCTCATCCTAATATAAATAGTGAACGTTGAAAAGGTACCATGTTTGACATCATGGTAAGCTCTTTGAATTTACTATCTTAACAAATCTTCTTAAGAAATATTACTAAGAAAAAATCTGGTTCTTAAAAGTTAAATGACTTCTACTGACTTCTATCGCTTTATTGAAAGGAACAGTCAATGGTTAATTATTTGATCAAACTTGCATGTCTCTATTTATTTTCCTGAGAAACCACTTTGAAGATATCAATATGTAAGACAACAACCACTGTTAATTTCCTACCACTTTGTCTGTAACTCTGTATTGCGTGTATTGTTCTTCTGCTGGTTTGTAAATGGATGTCTGTTTGTTAACATGTTTTCCTTCTTTTATTCTTAAAATAAATTTTAAAAAAGTTAAATGACTTGCTTAAGATTATATGAATAGTAATGACTAGAATATACACATAGATTGGTCTTACTCCAGGGACCCAATGCTATATCACTCTATTAATATGTGATTACCTATAAGAGCACATTGAGTGAATTAAGATAATCATGTCACTCACTCCGTATAACCCTTTATTAGATTCTCCTGGCCTATTAGATAAAACCCAGCTTAGTGTCATACAAGGTCCTTCAGGGTTAGGACTTGGCTACTTGTAAAGGCTTATTACCTATAAACCCATATTCCTATCTACACATTAACCATCCAGTCTGTATGCAGCTGTGCATGCCACTGGATCTGACAAGGGGTTTCTTGAAATATCTGGCTCCAAAAAGTTGGATAAAGAATTCTGTCTCTTTGAATTTTCCAGCATAAGTCATTGCTGCTAAGAGGACCAAAACTCAGGGAAGTTTCTTAGCTGGTTACCAAACAACCAAAATCATTACACAAAATTTTCTTAAGAAAAACCTTCTCATTTCCTGTCCTAGCATTAGACATCTGCTCCAGGTTCAAGGGGTACTGTCCCCATAGCTGCTGTGTGCTCACTCAGGTTGGCAGTTGCTTTGCACATGCGACTCACTTAGGGAAAGCCAGCAGCCTCTTTCTTTGTTGAACACTGTCCTGATTACTAGAAAAGTTTAATTAGGTTGTAGATTACCAAACTAATGGATTGCAATTGCTTTCTCCTTAGCTGAATCATTGCTTTGGTACACAGAATGATCCCTAGGGTTCCCTATTCTGCCATCTTGCTTCTAAGATTGTTTTTTGAGCCACTATCCAATTTAAGTTTCTGTATTACTTTTGGGTGTTATGTCTCCTTGGTGCTATCAGGACTTTTTCTTTTATCTAGAATACTTCAAATTTGAATCTGCAGATATACCTATCAGATTGGTGCATCTAACCCTACCTACCTTTTTCTGTTAATTAAAAATTAGGTCTAAAGTGTTATTTAGGTTTAAGACAAACATTTTTGACAAGACCTTATACTCAGTTGTATCATTTGACACATAATACCAGCATGCAATGGAAAGTTTGACCCTTCTGTTAAGGTATGATCACTAGATTTCTTCCCTATAAAGGTTGATTTTTCCCTTTCCAGTTACCAAGTTCTCTGTTAATAAGTAGATACTCTGACACTTGGTATTTTGCATTTATTCTGTTCTCCAACATCCTTCAGGTTAATGGTTTTAACATGCATTGCTTGAATAAATTATTTTTACTTTGATTTAAATATCATCAGAGTGAAAAAAGTGAATACAGTAAAAATTTAGGAAGTTTTAAAAATTTGCTTCCATTTTCTTCCAGCATTCAAATATCTGTCTCAAGAAAGGCCCGTTCATTTTTGTTTGTTTAGCACTGATTAGCACAAGCCCTTGGATGACTTATGTGTTTCACCTTCATGATTTATCCACGCCAGCACTTCACATCTGTCCTTGGCAATTGCTCATCTTTCCTGCTGTTGTACACATCTTAATTCACCAAGAACACTCCACAGAACTCATTTATTTCTTCATTTACCCCTCATTTTTCTGCCTCATTGGAATAATTAGTCATTGCCTGGATAATTACATTTTTAGAGCTTTCAAATTCTATTAATCCATCTTTCTTAAGAGCGATCCTGAACACAGAATCAAATCCTATTTTTGTATGTAAGGGCTGCCTTATGGAATTACACAAAAGGCACTTTCTTCACAGCTCAGGTATGACTTACCCATTTTTTTCTCAGGATAATTTTTCATTGCCAATCCATTACTACATGTTGGTTAGAATTAATTCTAGTGTCACAGTCTCTACACGTCTAATTTCAAATCGGTGAAAATATTGACAAGATCAAACGTTGACAGGTGTTGTACTTTGAGCTAATGTGCCTTTGTCAGCTTTTTGAATGGGTAAAGTTTCTCATCACTTTTACAGATTAATTCTATGTCTGCTTTAATATCTGTTTTTCCTTTCTTTTCACTTTACTCAAATGACGTTTTTATTTTTCATCTCCCATATTCTCACTGTATTCTAGTGGATATATAATTATTGACATCCTCTAACTTCATCAGTATATTTCCCTAAGTATCTTCAATACAGTAAATACCCATCTTACAAACATTCTCACTGTGAATGTTCGCAGATACAAACAGTCCTTGTATTACGATCATTCCCAGCTTGAGAAAATTGCAGAAGTAGCTCAAATGCCTGCTGGACATTGGCACAGTTGTGCTGTTATGTGTTTACTGTACAGTGTGACAGTGTACAGTAGTACAGTCAGAAACTTACTGTATTTTTGTGTATTTTTCTATGTTTTACAGTGTAAAGTTGTGTCAAAGTTGCATAAGACAGCCTGCTGGGCTTAGGAACCAGTCTGACTTGCATATATTCTCCCAGAATGGAACGCATTTGTAAATTTACAGACAAACTACTTGTTTTTTTATCTTTTTAGAGTCTGCTTTCTTAAAGCTATGTGGTCTTTTTGAATTTAGTATTTGGTTATGGTAAGAGTAGATCTAAATAGTGATGAGATACTCTCTGCATTTTGCTGATGAGATTTTGTTAATTCTGCAATCTGATTAGAGATAACATTTGTGTAAATATTATATATATATATAATATAGGTATAGAGAGGGTGTAAAAGTGGTTAATATATTTCACTTCCAGAGTTTATCCCAAGCAAATTATTAAAGGTGCAGAAAAAAGTATTTCTCTCTTCAATGTCATTTATAAAACTGAAACAAATGCTCCATGACTAAAGAATTTATGTCTGTTTTAGACATAAGCTGCCAAAATAACTTATGCCTAATGTTAAATATAGACAAAAAGATATAAAAAAACACTTAAAATGATCTCTTTTGACATAGTGCGCTGCCTGCCCTGGGTTTCACAAGAGAGATGTCTTACCCATTTCCTGATGTATGGAAGACAATTTTCACCGAGCAGTCTATTTTCAGTTTTCCCCTAATGCTTCACCGTTGCTCTGTTTGGAGTTCTAGAAAAGAAAACCTACAGAATTAAAGGAAAATATGGACTGGTTTCATTTTTCTCATGGAGAAAATGTAAGTAAACTATTAGGAAATAGAAGGTATCAACATTGACCCTCAGCATTTTTGTGTATTCTCGATGAGCAAAATATATGCTGTGGATTTTGCCTGACAAAGCCACAAAGTGAATAAAAGCAGATAACCTTTGGGGCCACTCTAAGAAGACACCATTGCCAGGTAACTAGGGTACAGGGTGTTTCTCTAATCTTTCTCTAGATTTTCTCTGAGCTATGTAGCTGCCAGGAGGTGTCCACAGAGTTCCATGGGTTGGGGTCTGTTATTCTCCTGACGGGAGGGGACTTCCCTAACATTCTCTGCAGGTCCGTCATTCCATTAACAGGACTGTCAAAGGATACACAGGCTCTGTTTTCTCCTGTCGATGTCTCCTCTCTGTCAGTCCTGTACTGCCTGCTGCACTCCTGAGGAGAAATGATCTCTAAGTTCCTTGGTCTCCAATACTTTGTCTCCTTAGCCTTCTCAGTCACCCACTGTTACGGTCATGCCCTGGAATTTACTATTACTAATGCCTCTGACATAAATTCAACTTCAACTATCTCATTCTCTGAATCCTGCACCTTTCTTTCCCCCATTCATTTTCCCTAAATGTATAAAATGTCAACAATTTTTGACTCGTAAACCTCTCTAATTCTTTGACCCCTGACCACCACACTGCTCTCCCAGGAATCCCTCAAACCCACCCTAAATCTTACTCTCTAAATACCTTGCACCTAGATAGTGAGCATGGCTGGAGGAATACAATCACAGTTCTTAAAAAAAAAAAAATAATCACCATTATCTCAAGTGGACTCGGTGCTGCTAGGAAATACATTATATTTCACTAATTCCTTTGTTCTGCCATTATATCAGGCTATTATTCCATAATTTATCTTCCCCAGATACCTAAACTTATTTTCCAATTATTCTCAAATAACAACATTGCTCTCTATCTCCCTGAGGCAACTGAGACAATAAGAAAGGATCGCCTACCCATTCTTACCACCACACCTACTTACCTGACCTCATTATCTTCCTCCTTAAGACCAAGGTTAAGCTGTCTGTCACCTGGGGGAAGGCAACCTTTTCTTGTACCCTGTCTGCTGTTGGATGATCTAGCATCACTCTCTTGAATTCTCTTCACTGTGTTCCTGCATAACTTTTCCTAGACAACCACGTTATCACAGTTTCCATCTTGAACCTTGCCTGGACGCCACCACTGTCTACCTTCTACACCAACTGTGTTCTTAGCATCCCATCTCCTTAAAAGCGTTACCCACACTTGCATCTCTGCTTCCTGTACTCCTCTTCCTTCTTGAGCCAACCTCAACTTTAATGAGGTTTTTGTTTCTATGGCTACATTGAAACAGATTATTATCCAGTCCTCAGACAGTTTTGCCTTGCCAGTTCTGTGGTCATTTTTCCCCTTTCTGCTGCTGCTGTTCAGATTTCATTCAGCCTATAAGTAGCACTTTACATAGCTCCTGTCCTTCCTCACTTTTGTTTTCAATTTGGCTTCCAGAATATTTCTTTCTCTTCGAGGCTTGTTGAACATTTTCTTCCAGTATTTTTTGCTCTCCTCACCTTTGTAACATTTGTGGAAACCACAGGAAGTTGTTTTCTTTTTCCTCTAGCTTTCTCTACTTCCAGGGGCAACTCATCCTTCAAAGCCACATTTATACCCAAAGTCTGCTGAACTTGGATGTCACACATCTATCTTTCTAGTTGACATCCATCTGGATATTTAATGAGCTTCTTAAATTTAACATGTCCAGAATAGAACTGCTGATTTGCAAACTCTGCCACCTCGCAGATCAGGTCTACCTCCCTTCTCTGCAACTTAGGGAACAGTTCACCTTTCAGCGTCTCAAGCCAAATTCTCAATTATTTCTGACTCTTCTCACTCCTCACTGCCAGGACATCAGTAAATCCTGGCAGCTCTTCCTCTGACATATGTCTAGAAGAGTCAGACTACCATCTTACTATTTCCACTATTATGACCCGTCCCAACACACTATAGATTTTCAGTGGGACTTTTGCAGTTACTTTTCATTAGCGTGGCATCTGACTTTTCCCTCTTATGATGCATTGTTCACATACAATCATGATTCTTTTAAAATATAAGTGAGGTCTTGATACTACTCTGCAAAAGGATTTCAAGGCTCGACATCACGAGTAGCGTAAGCAGAGCCTGATCTCATTACCAGCTGGTCACCTCTTTGATCTCTTCACTCTATCTTCCTGGGCTTCTTTGCTGTAGCTGTACCTCGGGGCCTTCCAATCACACTGTGCCTCAGGACCTCTCTCTTCCCTCTCCTCCCTGCCAGACCTTGCTGTCCACCACACTCTATGAGTCCTTTCCCCCCTTAGTTTACTTTGCTTTTCTCCATCCCTTATTAACATTTGAAAAAAGTCACACTTGTTTATTTATCTCGCTCCTCACAAAAATGTAAGTTTCATAATTTATATCTCCAAAGCCTAGAAAAGTACATGGCATACAATGGTCATTCATAATACTTTCTGAATGAATGGGCACAATTCTGTAAAAGTGAGATGATTCTCTCTTCATACTCTGAAGAGAGTATATTACTGGTTTGTTTTTCTTCAGTTTATTCTAGATTCTTACCCCAGATAACAAAAACATTCTCGTCATAAATTTTTTTCTTTTTGCAATGTAGTGGCTAACTCAAGACTCAGAGAGAGTATGTGTAACTTTTTAAAGGTCAAAGAATTGTTATAACATTAGGAAAAGGTCTAAAGTAAGGATTTTCTTTAGTAAACTAAATTTATTTTGAGATTTGATATTTCTATTTAATGATACCATCTTTACATAAAGAATATAGCCCATTATGTTGGTAGACTAAATGGAAACAGACATTGCATTTATGAGAGTATAAAATTAAATGTAATGCTTATTACCTTTAAATGTAAGTGTCAGCTACCAGTTTCTTGATTTTACAAGACACTTAGAAGAGACACAGATGTTTTATTATGTATTCCAGCTAATTTCCCCTTTCTTTCTTTAGACATCATTAGCTCTTCTTGGAATTACAGCCTACATCTTGGCAAGGATGAGACAAGTGTAATAATTTCCATTGAAAGCTTTCTTACTCTTTTCCCAAGGTGAGGGAATATTGAGAACAGAGTACTAAATATTTTAAACAGTTTTTATTTTCAGGGTGATTTTCTCAAATATTACAAATGGGATGATAACTTGACATAGTTTGATGATCTGGCTTCAACATGAGATTCTGTTGTTGCTAGTTGTGTGACTTTAGAAATATTTCTTAAGCCCCAGATCCTTAATATTCTTGGTTTAAAATTTGGCAAAAATTATATCATCTCATGGCAAATTCTGAAGTTAAATGGGATAGTGATATCACTGATATCACTAGTGATAAAGATGCATAGGAGCTTTTCAGTGTTGTCATTTTAGAAAGGAGAAAGCTGAAACTCTAGGCTATAACCTCACTCTGCAGCGGGTGGAGAATTAGGTTTACTTCATGTCCTTTGCTCTGCCTCATGGCAGCCTGTTTCTGTATTATCTGTTGTTGTAAGTAGTTTTTACATTTTAATTTATTGAAAAAAATCAAAAGTGTAATATTTCATAATATATAAAAGTTGTGAAATATTCAAATTTCAGTGTCCATACAGAAAGTTTTATTAGAACACAGCTGTGTTTATTGTGGAGGTATTGTCTGTATTTTGTGGAAAACAGTGGCAGAGTTGAATAGTGATGAAAGAGGCAATATGTCCTTCATGCTAATATTTTTGCTATGGGTTCCTTTACAGAAAAAGGAACCATTGATATCATTTCATTGATAGCTATAAACCACTTACAATGACTACTTTGTACACTACCAATTAAAAAAGTATAAGATTAGGATGACCTATGCTTTTTAAGTCTCGTACCAATCTTTTGGAATAAATAGTAACATTTATTTCTATTTAAAGCCATAGCCTGAATAGGTTAAATTGTTTTGTTAGAATGAAAACTGAGACTAAATATTGTTTATCTAAATGATTTTAATATTTCTCTTGCTCATTTGCTTAAGCATGATTCTGTATATGTGTATATACACAGATATACACAAACTCAGAAGAAGTAGTTGTAGTCGCGTTTGTGGCTACAATACATCTAGCCCAATTTGTGCTAAGCAATACAAGACAAAATTTAAAAAACAGATTTTTATGGTTTGTGTGTTGATGTCCCCTCAAAGCCTCATGTGGTCATAGGCTTTTTCAGAGGTTGTTGAATCTAGAGTGTGTGATGCTGGGATTTAGGGTGTATGACTAATAAATCAGTCCACTGATTGATTTTGCCTAATTCTATCTAGGATTAAAAGTGAGAATGTTACACCTGCATCAGGGCAGGTTACCTGCATACAGTAGAAGGAACAGAAAGAGTCTAGTCTCCCTCTCTGAGTGCTTTTGCTCTTTTCTGCTGCCATGAATAGTTGCCCCTCTGCTATGTGCCACCTTGCCTTGAAGCCAGAGGATTGTAGACTGAAACCTTTACAAACTATAAGCTAAATAAACCTTTCTGGTATTAACTGTGGGTGTTGGCTATTTTGCCTCAGCAACGAGAAAAGTATGTAAGACAAACACGCAAAAATACACAACATTATTCTTTAAATCAAAGGCAAAGAAATAGACGGGCATGAATTTTTGAGCAGACATTGCTAGAAAATATTCCTTTCAGCAATACTTTCTAGAAACTAATAATGTTTCGTTAATGTAAGCTGATATTTTACAATTACTTTAAAAGCTTTGCTTTTTGCACTTTCTAGGCAAATATTGTTTTGCATAGGACTGTATCATTAAACAATGATGCAACTAATTTAGTTGATTGAAACTACTACAGGGATTATAATTACATCATCATCATCATCATCGTCATCATTTTGCACAGGGGGTTGAGCCTGGAACTTCACCCACGTTGGCACTCTACCACTGAGCTACATCCCCAACCTTCATTGCTTTTTTAAAAAGACAGATTTTGACAGAAATCACTTACTTCTAAATTCTTTCAGTACCTAAACTATAACACTAGAATGATTGTGATAATGTTTCGTCGATGCAAATCTGTATTCTTAAATATCTAAAGGAGCTGACATAAGGAAACGTGATACTGATACCATGGTTGCTTTCAGTGGCCTATTAGAATTGAAGTTAATGGGCAGGTAATTTAGATAACAGTAGACAACTACTCCTTGAAGTCTTTGACAGTTTGAAGATTTACGAAATAAAAATTTCTAGGTACTGCCCCCAAAGAGCCAGCTGCAATATGTATCAGCCTGCTGCATTATGTCAGTGTTTGATGGGACTAACAGGGGTACATGAAGCAACTCAATAGGACATCAATTCTTGAAACCCCAAATCCACTCCTGAAGTTCAAAAAAGAAATTGATACTGGTGCAAATGTTAAATATAATTAAAATATTTGTTTTTCTGGAGAAATGTTCCATTTATGGTACAACAGACCAGCTACTCTCAATGAAGGCTACTATGTGGCCATAATACTAGCAGATAAATTGCCCCTGGGCTACTGCCTCCCACAGCAAAATGAAATTTAAGCATTCTTTAGCAACAATCTGAATTAGTTTGCTTGTTTTCCCTGAAGAAAAATAATGTCCCTAAGAACATTAGGTGATCAATGACTTTTTTTTTTTTTGTTTGTTTGTTTGTTTTTTTCTCCGGTACCGGGAACCGAACTCACGACCTTGCGCTTGCCAGGCAGGCGCTTCGCCGCTGAGCTAAATCCCCAGCCCCCCTGATCAATGACTTTTGATTACATTCTTCCAAAACTAAGGTCTTTTTCTCAAGTTATGTTACCAGAGAAACATTCTGTAATATCAAACAGTAAAAGAAGAAATATATGCCTAAATAAATTGCCTTGTTTTGAAATTATTTCTATTTGCTTAGCAATTAAAATAATTTGATAAAATTGGCTTGTATAGAAATAATAGTTTGACAAAATTTTTATGAAAAGAAGCAAACCAGAGTAAAGTGTGAACAAAGTTTATGTACTAGATAGCAAATAACTTCCTGGATTGAATTTTTTTTTTTTTCTTAATCCAACAAAAGTTAATTTCTTTCTTTTTTAATTATTATTATAAGGGAATATAAAAATAAGAAATAAAAAACAATAACAATGATACAGAATTTTAAAACAAGATGATAGGAAATTAACAATGGCTGTTATATTGCATATTGTTGTCTTTTTTTTTATTTTAGAAATAAAAGGAGGAAAATACTAACAGATCGACGTTTTACAAAATAGCAAAGGATCAGTACAGACATTACAGAGTTACAAACAGAGTGGTAGGGAATTAACAATGCTTATTGTATTACATATTGATATATTCAATGTAGTTTCTCATGAAAACACATATAGACATACAAAGCTAATCAACCAATGCCTCACTGGATTGAATATTTGAATAGAAATCCACTTGATAGGAACAATGAAAGAGCTTTTCAAGCAAATGTAAATGCTTTTAAGGATTTTCCATCAATTTAAAAGCAGTGTGATTATGACTATCTTTGAAGATAATACAGTACAGCTAAGGGTATTTAGGTAGGAGGCTTGTCAATTTTATAAAGGACTGATTCTATAAAACCTGGTGATGTTTACATTACACTGCTTATTTGTGACATTATAGGCTGACTTCT